TTTTATCTTTTAATTGGTATAAAAGTAGCATGAAGTGTGAGAGTCCTATTTCTGTTCCACATCAGGGTCAGGATGTAAAAACCAGGTGTCTCCTGGAAATTAAAGCAGGAGGGGAGACCATGGTGAACACACAGAGTGCTTCTGGAAAAGATGGTTTGAAACATCTAGCCTTTATTCTCAGTTAACTGTCAACCAATATGTCCTGAACTTTCTGAATGACAAGTGGAATCTGGATATACCCAGTCCTAATTTAATATTCTAACTGGTCTATGATAATTCTCATTCTTCTCAATATATCTTTAAAAAAACCCTACATAATAGCATAACAATAAAATGCACAGATTCCTATACCTAGATGAAGGTCCCTCTTTTTACTCCTGTTCTAGTTCTTTCTTTATTATTTATCAAATTTATTCGCCACCCATATTGTGACTCCGAACGGCTTATAGCAAGTTTTAACAGTTTTTAATGTAGTGGTGGGGGAATCCCTTACTGTACCTCACAGGTACAGATCTTTTATGAGAAATGCTCAATTGCCTGTAGCAAGAATGCTTGAATGCTTTGGAAGTATAAAAGAAAAAAGACTGTTATGCTTCCCTTTGATAAGCTGACCCTTAGAAAAGGTTGTTTTAAAACTAACCCACAAGTTCTATTGATACTTATTGTTTATCAGCTGCTATCTGGGACTGATAAAGGTGGGCAGTCAGCTGTGCTACTTTTAAACCTTTGCTCTCTCAGGAGCTGCAGGCCCCTTAACAAGCATGCCAGGAAAAGAGAAAGGGACTTGAGCTCTTTTCAGATGCACTGGTTAAGTGCCAATTTTGCTCATGAACAGTCATGAGCGTGTTCCTGCAGAGCAGGATGTGATCAAACTATTCAGAGCTGGAAAACCAGGTTTGCTTGCCAATTACGTTATTGCTTCAGTGCTGAGTATCAAATAGTGCCACACCAGCTATGAAAAAAAAAACTGTTTTTCTTTTAACAACCACCACAACAAAACAAATTCAATATCTTTGGCCTTTTGGCTAGAATTGTAACATAATCACAGGTCCTGGATGTAGAAGAAATAACATCCAGCTGAGAATGTTGAACTCCCTGTTTGCAAGGGAAAAATAACCATTTCCCTGCCCCCAAACAAGTAAAAGAAAACTAGCAGTAGCCCTTCCTCTGTTACCAGGTTTCAGCTCAGCTGCCAAGTCGCTCATGTTAAACATTCCTGTTCAGAAGGTGTAAATGGCAAAAGGCCAGTAGCTCTTCTGAGTTATTTCATCATACTGCCCACTACTGGCAAATGCATTTATTCAAACCAAAGCCATGGAAAAGAACTACCAGTAATTAGAAATCTTGTTTCCCCCCCCCCCCAAACAATCCAATTGCTTTGATCACTCTGAAATGGGAAAAAAGAAACAGGATCTATAACATGGCAGGACTGAACTGCTTCTGTTCACGGGTCTGCCATGCTTTCCTCCAGAACAATGCAGTCTATTCTCTAGAGTCCTCTTAGCTATCAAGCAGTTACCCATGGATATTGTCATATTGCCTTCGTAAGTAATATCTTTTCCAATCAGCAGAAATACTAATGTTTGGAAGGAAGGACTAGCATATGTCAGTGATATATAAATCATTTCTTCATTTAAGCACATTATCTCAGTCCTCTCATTTCCTTTGCAAAGTCATGAAAGAAATTCCACGGGATCACATAGTACTTCTTCACTAATAAATACAACTTGGCAACTGAATGTCAACAGTTTTCCTCTTCTAAAAAAACCCAAAGTATTAGAAGAAAGAGTGCTGTCAATGTTTAATTTTGTTGTTTGCTTTATAGTCACTTGAAAATATATATGAACGTGATATCAAATATTTGAATTTATGCCATTGTATTTGTTTTTGCACGTAGTAAAAGTAATTTGTATGTTTGTACAGTAATCTAGTGAACAATTACTGATTATATATGCATGTATCATTAAATCCTGTGAAGAAACTATACCCTGTTATGATAACTATAGCACACATACATTTTTATAGGTATCTGGACGCACTCAAAACATTCAATTTCACTTTCAATTTAAGACTCCCAAGAACATATTTGCACCTTCATTATCAACTAATTACAACTTAATTGGCATCATATAAGACAGGAATGTCAATACCCACAAGACTACTTGAAATCAAACTATAATGAAAGTCTATGATTGCTGCAATGTCCTTTGTCTGATACCAAATGGCTAGAACTGAAGGCAAAAGCCCAGCGTTAGCCACCACAACATAACCTTTCTTAAATATCCTCCAGTCCTCAGTTTACTCATCAATCATCTTCATAAACTATTGGAACTACAGCTATTAGCAATTTTAATAGATACCCATTCAGAAGCATTGTTGAATAGTCTACTTGCATAAATCTCAGCATGTAAGGTTCAAGCACTGCTCTTCACTAAAGATATTCAGTGACACTTATTTCAGATGAGCAGTAAGATCTGGTAGTCTCATTATTTGTGATATATTTAGATCTGAGGACAAGTTCAGCCAGAGATATTCAAACTGGTATCGTCCAGATATTGGGGTTACAATCCCACATTTCCAATGACTGGGTGTGCTGTCCAGGATTTATGGAAGTTCTAGTAGAAAATATCTGGAAGATACCAGTTGCCGATTTCTGCATTTAGTCTTTTATATCCTGGTAGCAATCTAATTTTCTATCAACTGTGAAATAAATATTATCTTGCCAATTTGATGTTTGGGTTCAAATACTGGGGGAGAGGGAGAGGGGAAGGGGCATGGGAAATCTTTTTCTGCCATTAAAGACAATAATCCACAAATTGTCCAGCTAGTTCATACTAATTTGTCTCAACATCAGTAACACAATAAAGGATCATGGACAACTTAATTCCTTTCTTCATCAAGATAAAAATCCTTCCGTCGTTTATTTGGCAGATCAGGTCTGGGACAAAGAACAGTAGAGAACATAAATATTATACTGTACTTATGTCAAATTCTCTTCAGAGAAAAATAAGGCCTAAACAGAAACTAAAAATAGTTTAAGGGGATAAAGAGAAGGGGATAAATACCAGGGAACCAATTACTACTGTAGAATATTTGGTGATCTGTGATCTTAGTTGCTTGCATGCAGACATTTTATTACCCAATTAGGGAACATCATCAGTGCTAGCTATGTGGAGTTTGTTCTCTGTTCATAAACAGTAGTTTGCTCTGCCAGTATTGATGGAAATATGGCTTTCTCCTCAGTAATTCTTTGATTGGGGTATAATTTTCTGCTTGATTGCTGGTCTGGTTTTAATCCCTGCTTATCCGGGTGTTGATTGCTGGAGAGAATGTATTCTGATCTTTTTGTTTTCTTTTTTTTTTCTCAGTTTTTAATTGTCTTTTTTGAATGGTGTGTAAATGTGGCTTATCTGTATGTGATAAATGATGGCTGATTTTGGAATTTGGAAATGCCAAATTTCCATGAATTCCCTATTTTTTGTATTTAATTTGATTTACGATACCCATGGTTTTCCAGTTAAAATCATGATCGAGTCGGTCCATAGGTTTTGAAATTACAGAGTTTTCATTATGCCTTCTGACTGATAGATCCAGTATGTAGGCGACACCTTCCTCATAATAATAAAAAAAAAACAAGTAGAGAACACACATGAATGACTAACATTTTCAAAGGAATAAAATTCACAAGGGAAAACCACGTATACTTCTGGATATCTTACCAACAGCGGAAATGTTGGCATATTAGGGATTAACAGAAAATATCCTAATCAAAGAATTATCAAGGAGAAAACTCCTCTACCAATACTGGCAGGGTAAGCTACTGTATATAAACAGGGAGCAAATCCCACACTCATTTGCACAGATGATGTTAACTAGTTGGGTAATGAAATATCTGCAAACAAATAACCAACCTCAGAGAGCACGAAGAACTATACAGTTCAACCCTAAGCTACATATATTCTCTTCTATTGGAACAAACTAAAAGCTAAAATTTGAAAGTTCTGATGTAATAAAATTGTTAATTGCCTGGCATTATACAACTGGGAAGTCCATAAAATACATTTAACTCTCAAATATATCAAGCAGAGCAGTACTGGTTGGAATCAAATATTTGGAGTGCAGTATACTTAAGATAAAAGTGGTATTTATGGCCTGCATTATCTCCTTGAAACTCCAATATACTACAGTGACAGAAGTAGGTATCTCAAGGTGCCAAGAGCTTGGAGCCAAGAAAATGCTCAAAGAAAGGCCTTTTATAAAGACAGGCTTGGACCTGACTTTCTGATGAAGATATGCACTATTTCAAATTATAATTCAGAGTAACTTTCTAAAAGCTTGTTGGAAAGTGTATTGCAAAAGATATATTGAATACATCAAATAGATTAATGATAAACCTTCCTTTTTCTGTTGTCGTCCTTTTACATTTTGTTTTCTATATTTTTTTAAAAAAGAATAATAGACAAACAAAAATTTGAAAAAAAATTGCTATAGCAATAGCAAATATCTATAGAGTCTCCAGTTTTCAGCCCACTGCTTCAGGAAAGTAACCTTCTGGGAACAAGGGTCAACATAAATATTCCAATTTAGAGTTGCTTTTCAACAGTTTTAATCACTTTTACTCATTACTTGTATTTACATACACATTTTAAAGATAAATATGTAGTTTCCTGTTTCTTTTATTCCTGTTTCTGTTAAATACATATATTTTTTCCTTTCTACATGTTCCCACTTTTGGTTTCCAAGGATATTTGGAATTTAAATTCAGTCTTCAGAGTTTGAAATTCCTGAATTTTCCACTTCTTATATAATTTAAAATTAATTTTAATTTTGAAAAATTCAGTAATGAATGTGTGTATGTTTCGCTGTGTGTAAAACTTAGCTCACTGTGATACTTTTTGTAGGGTAATAAGGAAATTTTCTAAAAACTAAAACTGCATATTCTTAGCAATGATGATGGGATATATATGTGAATGGATGCAAATAAACTAATATAGACTTACTTGAACCAGTGCAGTATCTCTCTCTTCTATCAATGCATTAATTTCTTCAGCTGTTATTTTCTTTTTCTGTTTCTGGGTCCTGTATATGCGATCGACAATTATAGCTCCTGTCTTCCATATTGCCATACCGGTGTCTGCATTGTTTATTCTGTTCAGTAATTCCTGTAATGTCTACCAACAGCATTCTATGTTAGTCAGACAAGAAGTTTTAATATACTTTATTTAATATAGGGTTTTAATTAATAGACACATGTGAATTGTAAATTGACTGAGTGAAGTTATTGAATTTTCATACTGCAGCAAAGATGTACATTATTAGTATGTCAATTCTTCTTTTTCCCACATCTTAGTTTCTGAAACCCACTCAATTGAACTTAAGCCTCTAAGATATAAGACTGACATCAAGAAATCTCCTCAGAGAATGGCTTACCATGTCATTTTCTTCAGGGTTAATATTTTCTAGCCTAGAAAAAAGGACACAGAAAGCCTGATCAGTAGCATTTCCTTAGTGCAGCAAAATGAATTCGCTTTTTAAATCTTTAGAACCCTCAAGTAATTTCATTCTACTGGTCTTTAGAGTCAACCATGACACTGAACATATTAAAGTGCCACCTGCTCGATTCCATCTTTCAATAATGCTCCATATCTTCAGCACTGACTTCAGAATGTTAAGTTATTAATGTTTACTGCTATATATGACTACAAGGATCAATTGTTCATATGTGCTTAGATGAAGAAAGTTCCCCAGTGGCAGGGGCACTGAGGCACCTTTTATTTATTTATTTAATTCTGCACCCACTGAAATACATAAATAAACCTCCAGCAGAAATTATATATTTTAATTTTATCATATCCCTCATGACAAAAAAACAAAGCAAAATAAAAATCTCTAGCTCTCAAATCCTAACACCACTGTCCGAGGCTCACTGTTTTTAATGAAATTTATCTGCATGGAATTGCCATCACAAGTCTGTGGAACAAAGTCTAATGATTTTTACTTCTTAACAGCAATTTAGGAAATTAAACTTTCTCTAAACCCCCAAACAATTAGACTGAAACAATGGAATAAAAACAAACATTCGGGCCCCATTTTTTTTATCAGTTGACACATTTTTCAGTGTTACTAGCTCGGTCAGAACCTTTCTGCAGAACTGCAGGTTATTAGCTCAAAATATTTGTACTACCTCATTTCCAAAAGAATGGTAATGAATAAAAAGATATAATATTATAAAAAGTTGAATGAAAAGCTTGTAAATATATTTTAACCTTTCTGTAAAATTGAATTATACCAATCAGTAAAGCAAGTAATCAAGTTATGATGTCATGCAAATCAGGGATTAGGAGGCATCTATGAAGCTGGAGCGTGCATGTGGTAGAAGTACTGCATAGCATTCCTCAATTACCTATTAATATTGCAGCACGGTAAAATTACAGATTTTTCAAACTTTGTCATGGCCACTTGAAAAAAAATAAGACTACAGAAATATATCTGTAACTACTGTGAATATAATATAATAATATAAAATACACATTAAAGAAAACTACAAAATGACTGTATTTTGCAAAATAGCATAAAGAAAAAATAATAGAAAAATGCATATTAACAACTTATTGAATCATTTTGCATCCTATTTAAAAAAGGTTTCCAGATGAAAATAATAATAATGATTATTATTATTATTATTATTATTATTATTATTATTATTATTATTATTATTATTCCTACAATTAAAAACAAAACAAAATATATGGTATTTCAAATTAACAAAATACTTTATTTTGTTTCACTTTAATTTCCGATGGAAAAATGGCCTCAAAAGATCTGATTGACTTCCTATAAAGTAAGATTTCTGATTCACAACTTTGTAATACAAATGTGAACCCCTGGATGAAATGTGTCATTTCCTTGAATTATCCATAAATAAATCGATACTGGTTTCCCTCTCTTACATACTCAGTCAATCATCACCTTGTCTATTTCAGGAGCAAGACTGAAATCACACATGAATTAATCTAAATATAATGAATAAACCAGTGTCCTGCTTAAGATCTGTTACTTAGAAATGTAGCTCTTTCTAACCATTCCAAGGAGGAAAAGCAAGAATTTAAGAGAATGTGCCCACAGAGATTCCTCACAAACTACTTTCACATACTGGAGTTTAGAAACATGTTATATAATTGCTTAAAAACACCCACCAAGTACTTCCTACTTTCTCCCTTATATAGCAAATTAAAAGCTAGAAAATATGTGGGTGTGTGTATGCATGCATGGAGTTAGGTATGTACAGCATATACAAATATGCAGTGGCTATATGAAGAAAGGGTGATACTGTAGATGCAGCTGAGTTTTCCCACAAAACAGTGGACATTAAGCAGTCAGAATAAAGCATGAGATGTGTACATACGTTTCAAGAGGTTGTTCCAGTAGCCTTACTTGTTTACATGCATCATTTCTCTCTTCACTGGCCAACTTCAGTCTAGCCATGATGGCTTCATCATGTTCGTGTTGTGCGGAATGAATTTCTTCTACCACAGCTGCAACATAGTAAATGGATGTATTGTATAAGTATGACCCACAAAGTAAATTTATTTATTTTATAGCTGTTTTTAACTTTTCTAAATTAATGGATATTTATTTATCCATGGAACTAATTATAACATCGTCTATCTTAATCATTTCCAGACCGACACCCATATTAGTCAGGACCCAGTTAAAATTTTCTACATTAAATGAATCAGCTTCAAGATGTGTGGAGTTCAATTCCCAGAATTCCCCCGCCAGCCTTGCTAGTTGTCAAGATTGAGGAAATGTTGTATTCTACCAGATGACAAGCTGGACTAAAGCTGCCATATAAAAAGAGCCATGCTGGATCAGAGCAAAGGCTTGAATAATCTTTTTCCATATGCAGTGCAACCTGAACCTTTTTGGGGGGGGCGGGGGGGAAGTTCTAGTAAAAGAAAGGATATGATGCAGACTCATTGCATTTGTTCTTCACCTTGGTTCTATATAACTGGCTGCTTCTGAGGATAAAGGGATAAGAAATGTAAATTTGATGGTAAAGCAGTAACAATACTTTTAAAACCTTCTGAAATCCCATGACAGTTTGAAGTTTTTGAAACTCAGATAAATGTTTTGCATTTTTCCAATGTTTACTTATGAAACTTTTGAGGCAAAATTGCCAAAAATTTTGGTCCATTAGCAAAATTTTACATGATTTTTAGTGAGAAGTAATATTGCAAAATTTTTGCTGTTCTGGTATACAACCATGCAAAATCACTGAAATCATAGAAAAGTTAATCTTCTTTTTCTTCTTCTTCTTCTTCTTCTCCTTCTCCTCCTCCTCCTCCTCCTCCTCCTCCTCCTCCTCCTCACCACATTATCTAGTATGTGGTATTGATCTAGTCTGAAAATAATAGCCCAGTCTAAAACTATAGTTGATGTAAGTCTTCTCTAAAGGACTCTGCAGCATAATGAGGAATGAAAGCACAATAAATGCAATTAAAAAATAAAAAAACAGTCAAAATATAGCAGGTTATAGATACATTGTTGAGATATTTATTACAGTTATGGAGAAAAATATATTATTATAAAAACAAGCATTGCTTTGAGCAACTCACATTAGCTGAAGTAGGCTCTACAACAGATATTTGAAGGGCCTTAAAATAGCTAGTCTTTTATGAGATTTATATCCTGATTTTCTTCTATACAACTCAAAATGGCATATATATTTTCCACAAAACATACTTCACAAAATATTTTGGGCTGAAAGAGAGTGACAATCTCAAGAACTAAAAGTTACTGGTTTTTCATGCAGTACCTTAATTGCTGCACCAAGCTGTCCATCTCAAACCATTTTTAGAAAAATGTTGTTAGTATATGTTAGTGGATAGTACTCTATTTTAAATTGATCCAGTGAACAATCTGCTATGTGGAGGGAAGGGGAAGAATAATTACGCTGATAAAAGCAAAAAAAAAATCTGGGTAATCCATTTGACTTTACTGGAACAATAGGCAAAGATTTTCAGGTCTATTGCATCAAAGTCACCTTTGCTATTTCCTGGAACACCTAGGTTTATCTTGGCAAACTATTTCAGCCAAGCTAAATTCGTTAAGTATTTTTTAAATGACATTTTCGTTGAAATATGAAGCTTCTTGAAATAAATGTGCATATTCAGTGTCATGTGGAAGGAATAAGGTATCAATCACATTGCCAAAGCAGAAGTCTATTATTTTCAATGAAAGTTGGCATAAAAGCAGACCCAGCAGATCAATTGTGTATTGTATTTTAAAATGACTGAAAAAAATCCCACATTTTTTTATTAATAAAGTAAATTTAGCTTATTTTGCTGCAGTAGCAAGCTGTCAACATTTGAATATCATACCAAGCCAAACATCTGGATTACAAAATGGCTTGCTTCCTGAAAGATAATTGTACTAGATCCATCAAGAATAACACACTTGTACTTTTAAGATAGATAATAACTGTAAACAGTTAAGGTACATAGCTATTTCAAAGTTCACTTAAAAAATCAACATAGCATTTTAGTTGGAATTTGCTCATTAAATATCCATAACAGTAATGCAAATTATACAAGAATGAGTAAAGCAAATACATATATTTCTTTGTTTTATTAAATGTAAAATCTGCTGTTAATCACATAGGCTGTGTTGTATAAACTTTTCTCTTTAACTATTAAAAGGAAGTCTTTACAAAAGTCATTAGAGATCTTCATTCTTTGACTTGTATAAATTTCAATATTTGTTCAGTAAAGGTTCACAGCAGTTAAATTACATTAACAAATATTATTAGCTACTATGTAAGCCAACTAAGTAAAATACTTATATTGCAGGTAAAACAAATCATTGGATGTTTACAATAATATTTGGACATGTCCACTTTTAAACAAGCTTATCAAATATTCTGTAATTCTAAGTCAAATTACAGAAACTCAGAGTAGATTCCCCCCCATGCTCAAATTTGTTTAGTAAGCTAATTGTTTTCTAATATGGGATAAAGCAAATATGAAGAAGCTGAATCATTTGCAGTATAAGTTTACTGAGTCAAAGCAGTGTACATATTTTCTCAGCTAAACCCAGTTTTGTTGGCAAACCTTTTGGCCACACTTTCAGACTACCTTTAAAATACAGTAGTAGCAAGAGAGGGTGTTAGAAATCATTCTAGTATAAACATTGGTTCATGATTCTCCAAACAACAGAAACTTGAAGGGTGGTGGATGAGGCAAAGAGAGAGGGCATCTATGTCTGTTTGCTGATTTCTTAGAGGTCATCTGTGTAAATATAGAAACTGAATAGTAAATGCTGGAAAGAAGGAATAGTTAGGAGTTTTAGATAGTTTACTGCAAAACTCACATGATACGAAGGGAAAAAATACAACTTTAACCTTTTAGACAACAGATAAGATTTCTAAGTAAACCAAGATAATTAAGATATTGTTCTACATTCTGAATTGCCCTATAACATGCAATTCTTAAAAAAATCTTTTCTCGTAGATACTTTGTCAATATGCTGAAGCACTATTTTGCCTTTTTTTTCGGGAATAAAAAGATAGCCTAACTGTATTTCCCTTCAAGAAATTTTTAAAAACTCAATATTCAAAATTTTTCCATTCTTCCCATAATTATTCCTTATTTTATACATTTCATGAGATTTTAGCTACTATAGTTTCTACAGGTATTTTCGGAAAGTGAAAAATAAATGTACTGCCATAGCATGTAGATTGTCATAAGAATTTTGTGATTTTGGAGTTAGTATTTAAGATTAGGGACTGTTGAACTCTGTGTGACCCAGGATTTTCCTCAGAGCTGGTTAAGGACTGATCACAAGACTTTTAATGGCTTCACACAGATATTTTTCCTCCACAAGAGTCAATATGAAGGACTATGGAGCTACTTTTTATTTTCAGGCTATCCCTAGTAAAGATAAAATATTCCTAATCTGAAAAATATTTTCAAGGGCAACCTATACAGAGTTAATATGTAAACGGAACTGAAACTGAACAAATAGCAGTTCCAATTTTGTCTCTGCTTCAAATAAATAAGGAAGAACGCAAGATAAAGCTTATTTGAAATTAAATTATATGACTCACAGATTCCTGATTTTTTTTTTACTTTGATGGGTTCTGCTCATTTGCTTTTTCTATAGGTTTAAGCAAATGTCTCCAACTCAAAAGAGTGCATGGTGCCTCTATGGAAATGTTGTTAGAATATACTGCAGTATTTGCTTATATATAGAATTATCAACTTGTTTTCTGAGGTTTTCGCGGGTATTTGTATGTAGGTCTTTGGTTGTTCGGGTTTTCTCCCACGTAAAATTGGAAGTGTCTTGGCGACATTTCGACGAAGTCCCATTCGTCATCTTCAGGCTGGTGCTTTCAGCTTCGTGCTTTGAGCAGCAATTAACTTGCATATATCACCATTAGCAAAATGCTAACAAATCTAGAAAATTATCTAGGTTCCAGATTGAGATCTTATTTCAATAGTTCCCAGACACTATAACTATTTGATAAAATACTATACTGACATTAATTAAATCACTAATATATAGAAGTGTTACAGAAAAAAAAGAATGAAACAGAATTAGAACAGTTTTAAGAGGATAAAACCAGATATTACAGAGTGCAAATCATTTACATTTTAAACTGACTCAGCAGATAAAGCAATGTATGTTAACCACTGATAGAAATACCAATATCTTTATTGCCTTGTATATATTTAGTTTGAGGCATTCAATTGATCCTACATTTCTGGTGCTATAAATGCATTGATTATACCCAAACTGTTTAGCAATACCTGTAAAAGTAAGTGAAAAGACTTTACACTCTGATGTTTTCCTGTTTACTTAGATCCTCAGAGGGAAAATGAAAGAGAAGGCATGCAAATAAGAATGTATACATTTCCCTCCACTGTATTTACATTTCTGAGTTTTTTTACTAAAGCCAGTTGCCCAGCAACACTAAACTTACAGTGTCTTTTAAAATACACATTTTAGTGGACATGACTTGAAAGCCTATGTGCTACCACTTATCAATAGTTTTTCAGACAAAAGTCACCTATGTATACATCCATAAAAATATCCACAACTAAACTCAATATATTCTACTGAATTGTGTACAAATGGATAGCTCTTAAAACGATTGTTTCCCAAAAGACACCTGGATTTGTTTTTTGTTTTTTTACTGATAGGAAAGCTTGATACACAACATTTACTACTAAAATACTAGTCTCAATTATTCCTACAATTAAAAACAAAACAAAACAATAGCAATAACCAATAGCACATCAATGTCTATGCAGAGACAAGTCCCAGTTTGGGGAATGGGAGGAGAAACTATAAGGCTGTATTAGCAATCATTCCATACAATCAAAATGCACTATTCAATCTGTGTGAATGTCTGTTATTCCACAAAGGCATTTAGATTTTCAGGATAACCTTATTTTCAAAATAAGTTTTCAGAAGAAAGAACTTTTCTTATTTCCTATACTACTCTTTGAAAAGTACATTTCTGTCCTATATA